ATTTATTGAGACACTGTGCTACCTACTGATATTTTGAGTTCTTTTCATTTCAATCATTTGTCATTTATTGAGACACTGTGCTACCTACCTAAAGCTGAGATGGTTAACACTGAACAGTTACTTTCTTTAGTGTGTTTAAAGCCTAGTTTGGGAGGAGGGTATTTAAAACCAATGACATGTTAAGTCCTTAACAAAGAGGTGTGAAAGGAGGGATGGGAAGTGCTTGCAGGAGGGTGACTCACTCTCTTTCTCTGCAGCAGAGATTATGGAAAGTTCTCTTACAGTGGATGACTGTTGGCCAAGCCTTGAAGTATGAGCTTGGCTAGAAGAAAAGGGAGGAAATTGATACCTCTGTCAATTCTTGGTCACCACGCTCATTTGGGAGACTCTGCCTTTGCAATCTCAGAGTTTCTCTGTCTAGTTTCTTTCCAGTTATTCACAAGAATTATTTTCTTCACTCTTAACGGCTGACCACTCTCTGCTCCCCTCACAACTGATAGACCTACCTCCGACTTGGAAGTGAAAAGTTATGAGATAACAAATCCTTTATTCCTTGCCGTAGGATTGACATACCGCATAACCAGTGCTTATCTTTCACAACTTCCCTCTTAGTTGAATGGAGAAATATTCCCTTTTCTTTCTAATAAAAATCCCCATCAGATATAGATCACAAGGTCCTCTTAGTAACCCCAGTGTGTCTGTTATCCAGTTCTTCCCAGGCTGCTCTCCACTGATGCTGTCAGCCTCTACCTCTGCATGGATATTTCCCATAAAAAATAAACATGCTCTGAACTCCATTATAAAAAGAAAGAAAAAGGAACAGAAAAATCTCCCTAAATTCTGCATTCCATTCTCCATTCTGCTCTATTTCTCTCCCTGCCTTCACAAAGTTCTCCAGAATTTTCTATGCAAGCTCATTCTATGTCCTTACTTTCCTGAGGCTTCTGCCTTCATTATTCCATTGCAGCTGCTCTGCTACTCACCGGTACTAATAAATGCAAAGGATCTTGTTCTTGCCCTGTCTTACCTAACCTTGCAACTGCAAATGACAGTGTCTCCTCGCTTTGTGAAACATTGTCTACCCTTCACTTTCTGTCTTCTCCTGGTTTCCATTTTGCTTCTTTGGTTTTCTTTACCATATCTTCTTCTGAGCAGTCTTTAAATATAGTAGTTTCTCAAGACCCAGCCCTATGCCCTCTTTCTCCTTATTCTACACTCTTAAGAAATTTCTCTCCCACTCATGATGTCACCCAACACCTGAGTGCTGAGGACTTTCACACGTATATCAACGACTTAGAACCTCCCTTTTGAGTTTCAGACCTGAATATCTACAGCTTTACTTGATTTCTTCACTTGTATAATCCCAACATCTCAGACTCAGCATGTCGAAATCTGAACGCACGATCTTGTCTTTTCTTAATAGTTCTACTTGTGCCTGTCCTCCCTCTTCCCATTTTCTGTTCACAATGAATTGAGAGTGTGATCTTTTCAAAAAACATATCTGATTATGTCAATTCTAAGCTTAAAATCCTTCTGCTGCTCTTAGGATCTCAGGCCCACAGCCTCTCTCCAGCTTCATTTTTGCCAGTTGATCCCAAATTCATACACTCCTCCCAGCAAGCACCCTTAGTTCCCTGCCTCTACAGAACTCTTCCCCAATTGGAGCTCTTCTGTGCATTGTTCCTTCAAGCTGCAATATGCCTTCCCCTGTACCATTCTTCCTGCCACCCCACCCCCTTGTCAGCTGACTAACTAACTCCCATTCTTTAATCAGCACATAGAACATTTATCCTGAGATTCTCCCTCATCATCTTCTTCATCTCCTCCCTTCCTCCCCCCAAGTCTATGTTAGATCTCTCAGTCATATTCTCTTATAGGACATTTACGTACAATATCTTCTCAACATTTACCATGATTGTACTTTAAAAACACTTGTACAAATATTTGTTTAATGACTGTTTTTTTCCATTAGAATGTAAGTTTTTTGAGGACCAGGACAATGTCTGTGATAGGCATTTCTATACTCCAAGCATCTAGCATAACTCCGGGGATGGTAGATCCTTGGTAAATATTTCATTGTATAAGTCAGGGCACAGATTTAGGTGGTGGTTTGGCATTGCATCCATGGTATGAATTAGCTAGAGAGAGAATCAGGGTCTCAATACACAGGAAAACCAGTATTAGGTTGTCTGGGAGAAGACACAGGTTAAGGAGAGAGTTTGGATGGGATTGTGGTTTAGACTGTTGGATTAGAAATGTGTGTGGGACATATTGGCACAGATGTCCAGTTGGCATTTGCTTTCAGGTTCTTCTTTTCAAAAAGCAAGTTCCTGCTGCCACCCCTAG